TTCATCGAACCAGATGGGGGCTCGTTCGGCTCTTTCTCTATGGATCCACTTTTGCCACAGAGTGCCCATTGGCTAGCTCATATTGCTTCAATGGTTGACAATTCAAGACATCTTTTCGTGCCCGGAAGTTTGGCACTTCAGGATGCTTTCAACTGTATGTCTAAAATTGCAGGCACTTTAGTTTTATGGTTTGCGAATGGGTCGAATTGCAATATCAACCGTAAATTGGCTGGGAATAATCTTGGTTGTCACTCAAATGCTTCTTCTACTCAAGTCAAGCATATTTCCTCTGTAAGACAAGATGTAAGCAGATTTTTCTGGAATTCAAAGCATAGAATGAAATCCGGTATTCCAGTGGTGTTTGGTAAGGTATCGAGTTTTGCATTGAAACAAATCTGTAAAGAGGCCGAACGTCTTCAGTGTCTTCCAGTGCTATCATTAGCGGCTGCATTAGTGCCGCCATTTACTAACATGTGAGATTCAAATGTCTGTTTTTAATTTTTCTTTTTTCTTTTTTTTTTTTTTACACTTAACTTATCTTTTATGCCGTATATTTTTTTATTCCAGCTCGTCAAATGTCTTGGCAATTCCAATGGAAACTAGTTCTGTTGAAGCCCAAAGTTGCATGGATCGAAACCCGTGCGAGATTGAAAATCGAAGTTGTGGACCTTCCGGTGGTCTTTATTTCCAGAATTTAGCTTGGGATGATACAAGACTGTCGAGCCAAGGACAGGTGTCGAGTTCCCGACCATGTTGGGGGACTTCATGGCCGGAGAAAGTAATTCCAGTTTCACTCCTGAGGTTGGTGCATGAAGTTTTGATCTTGCACGATTTTCTTGTATGTTCCACTGAACATAAAAAGTGACGATCTCTTTTATTTGTATGCTGTATAAATACCTGACATCTCTTTTGCTTGTTCAGATGTTCTATGTACAGATAACTAGCAAAGTTAAAAATTACTCTTAAGGCTGTGTATTGAATTGAAGGATTTTAAATCTGAGCGATTTCAAATGAATAGACTTCAAACCTAGTGAATTTTAAATCTTATGCTATAAAGT